CAATGACTGGGGCTGCCTTCCTCTGTTTGGCACCTTTTACCCCGTCCTTAAAATGGTCTTTCACTGACTTCATCAGGTTATCACTGAGAAAGTACTGACTTTTTGCTAGGTCTTTAATAAGGTAGATATTTAACCCATTACTTTAATAATATTTTTGATCGTGAAGAATCGCCACTAGCAAATCCGGATTAGTTTAAAAGCAGCGCTTTCACATCCTCAATGTGAACTCCTTGTACCATCTGCCTTTGGCTCTTTTTTTCTTCTGAGAAGCATCATATTACCAACATCCCACTTTTCCCTGTGAACACTAAGAGCTCAGAACACAGCCTGATGATCGCACACAAACCTTAAGTTCCTCTTTTGAGAAGAAGTAGAAAATGGTGATGTGTTTCCATCACTTCAGAGGGGAGTGGCTCAGACGCTGAAGGAAAACTGAAGGGATCTGACAGCATTTAATTTCAAATATTTTCTAAGTAGCTTCTTACGATTAAAGGAAGCCTGTGTTGAACAACAGACGTACTTATTCTTTGTAATGCTGGGAACATAAAAATTAAATAAATTAAAAGCAGACCATGAAAAAGTCACAGATGATTTTGATGAAGAAAGAATATTCTAGAAAAATAGCACTGAGGTATTTACAGAAAATGATAGCTCTTCTCTTTTCAAAATGGAACTGTAATTTCTTAGCAGTGTTTGTAGATCTGGTGTTTGACAGACACAGCTTGAGGGAGGTGTGGGGAAGGTTGTGTTCTAAAGGTTCATTCACAAACTTTGTCTGTGCTGAGAAGGGAATCTGGCTGTTTCCCCTGGGAACATTATTTCTAGGTAGACTCTGTAACAGGGCTTTCATGTGAGGACAGGTTGTTAAAAAAAAAATAGGATCTGTGTCCAGGAGACACAAGAACTCATTTGCCTTTGAAATAGCGCCCTCCGGTTTGTAAATTCTCTGCTGCCTTTGGAGAATTAAATTGGTGAAGTAAATAAATTCATTCCCTTTCAGTCCTGCAAGTCACTGGGCCATGATTTCATTGAGGATCCATTTTACCTTTGTATTGAAACAGTTAAATGGGTACGGCGACAGGGAGGCTCCAAGAGTCTCAGGCTGTGAAGCTCCGAGTTAGGACAAATACCTCTCCCCTTTGCAGTGTTTATTCTTATAAACAGAAGTGTGTCCATCTTCTCCCGTTGACCTCAGCAGTACAGAAAGAGTTTTATTTTTTCCGAGAGGAGCTAGTTGCTGGTCAATACTGTGCCCAAGCTGTAGGTGGCTGGTCTAGACTCTATCACACAATCTTGAGAACTTAGAGTGAAAATATGGGTCGGCAGTCTTATGTGTCATTCTCATTTCACAGAAGAGAGTTGAAGAGATGTCACAAGGCCCGTCATAAAGACAAGAACAAAGTTGAGGTTCAGTTGCTATGTCATGGATACCCGTAGCTTGCCAGAAGCAGCTCCCATATGGAATTCAGGCATTGGAAACCTACCTACCTTTAATTCTCCAACTGTCCCGCAGCTGTCACCTCACATTTCAGTTCCAGTCCTTGGCTTGTCCCGTCACCAGGGATAGCCCTACCCTTATGACTTTGCCTTTCTAGAAGGTCACATCTGCCTTTCTAAGTCTTTCAGAGCCCCAAACAAGTGGGCCCTTCATAAGTATTTTTTGATGACAGCAATAATTGCCTTAGTCAGTGTGGTAAGGCCCTCCCTTGCTGAGGAAAACCAGTGGTGGTTGCTAAGCAACATTTAAAAGGTCTAGATTGGTTTCTGACCCTGGATGGCCTCCATCTGTAGACTTCATCATGTGTATTTTATGGTTACCTTAGGATGACTTTGGGAAACTTTGTTTTTGGCGTGCTTCGCCCTGCCCTTGGTAAAAAGATCATAAGAGAATCCATTTAGGCATGGGAAAAAGGGAGATGACATTCCTCTGTTTGCTTGCATGAGTACACTGAGCCCTTCTATAAAGGCAGAGAAGGTATGTAGTTTACTCAGCCCCATGGCTGAAAGCCACCACCTTCTACCAAACAGACTGATGCACCATGTATCCCAACAGGATCCTATGGCCAAGGGAAGTTATAGGGAGAAAGAGGTTAGGGAGAGGTAGCTAGCCATATATGATTGTTTTTCGATCTGTTCTCATCTCCTGAGCAGAGCAGCCAATCACAGCACTTAAGGAGCCCTCCTCACCCTCTTTAGACTATTGCCTATGGACTAGCCAAGGTGTCTTAATAAACCTGGCTCCTCTACTAGAGTGAAAGTTGACTAAAACCATTAAAGGACTCTTTGTTTGACCATTTGCTTTATCCACCCCCTCTCCATGCACACACACTTAGCCTGGCCATTTCAGGTATTCCATTAATGTTTGTTCAAAACATGACAGAATGGCTTTATTGGAGTACTATAAACCTAGTCAACTCCAAAATGTTCGCAAATATTTCATAGATACGAAAGAAAGCAAAATGAGGGCAATTGCTTGACTATTATATTTGGTTAAGTCTTGTACATGGGGGGAAAATAGCTACAGAAGAAGTCGTCTGTCTCCAAGCCATTATGTAAGATATTTTTACTATAGTTTAAACAAAATTTCTTTTCTAAAGGCCAGCAGACCAATCAACACTTATAAATCTGGCTTTCCTAACCTCTCCGTCTTCAGTCAGTGCTGGTTTTGTGACTTGAAGGTGAGAGGCCATTGTGACAGTTATATCTTTAAAAAACAAATAAATTGAAATTTTTGCCATTCATCAGAAGTTCAAAATTGCACCGAGGTTCCACATGTCAGCCTACAAAGCAGAAATGATTGACTCAGAGATGTCTGGTTACTTGTGAAAACACACACATACGCAAGCAGGGCTACCCAGAAAGAGACAGGTTGTGTCTCAGAGGACATCGTGTGGTACAGTGAGGCAACATGCAGAGACCCAGATTCGGTCTGGCTTCACCTCAAAAGGCAGCTCTCTGGGAGAAGCAGTGGTTTGACCTGAGTCTTAGATCCCTGAAGTGAAGCTATTGTCAGATACAGGATGCTCATTTGGAAGGGGAATGCCTCACAGGAAAGAGAGCCAATTACAAGTTCAGGCTGTTGCCATGGTGCTTTGCTGATCCTTCAACGTGCAGCACAGGAACTCCCTGGAAGGCTAGGGATAGGGGCCTAGGGGAGCGCGGGGGGGCGGGGGGGAGTGGGAGGGGTGGAGCTTGCTTGGTTAGGGCTTCCCATTGCCTGTACTGTAATGCTGACAAGAAGGGACTGGCAGGGGAGCCAGGAAAAGAATGACATTTTCAACACATCCCAACTTGCTAAAATGAAACTAAAATAATTTAACTGTGAAACGTTTCCAATGTGAAATATAAGATGTAACAGCACTAAAATATCAAATAAGCATAACTCCAAATAATTCTTTCTTCTTTCAGCAAATGTTATCTCATATTTCCTAATGTACTTGAGAATCCTACATGGAAAGGAAAGGTTAAATGAATTTAATCCATTTGCTGGATATGATCTAATAAGCATAATAATGAACTGACTGAGTGCAGAAAATGGCACATTTCGGATGAAATACTTTTTGCGTCAAATGAATTAATTCTATCCTCCTTTATTTTACTGTGAAAAGAGGCTAAATGCATCAGCATCCCCGTTGGTGGGCAAATAATGTTCCTAAAGCAGGTTAAAAAGAAATTCTTCTGTACTGGAAGCCGAGTCAGATAATGGCTACAGTTCCAACCTTTTCCAATTTAAAAAAAAAAATTCTCAGAGCCAATTAATCAAATGTACCTTCACTTGGAAGCAATTACAATAGCTGAGCACTGTGTCGGGCTGCTTCTGCAGAGGGCTGGCTGTCTGCGGAGGAAGAGAGAGTTAAAGAACACCTAGCTGGAACGGGGGGAGGGTAGGACCTCGGATTTACTTAAATATTCATGGGGCTTCCTCCATTTTAATCTTCTCCTTTTTAAAAGATGGCTGTTTCCCAGGCAGACAGCTCCCGGGGGAAAGAGATTCCCTGCTCCCTGGCAGAGTTGGACTAACGTAGGGTGGGAACCCCTCCGGGCTATCTGATTGACTGCTTCAAGCCGGCCAGCTGAATACATTTGGACCGGTGCTCATTCCTTCGTACAATTCCTGGTTTCCTGACTCTCTTCTGCCTGCAGCGCATAGGGTTCTTGCAGGGATGCCCTGTGAATGAAGATGGGTTTGCCGTGGATTAGGAAATACCGCGCATTTGCAAGGCTTTGTCTTTTCTAAGTTTTGGTTCTCTCACCACTGGATCTGCCTCGTTTTTTTTTTTTTTTTTCTTTCTGATCCTCTGGGGATTGCTCTCCTAGAACTGAATTCTTTCAAAGGGATTTGTGGACTGTGGCCTGAAGAGCCTCCAAAATGCCTGAGGCAAACTATTTGTTATCTGTATCTTGGGGTTATATCAAGGTGGGTCAGTTTGATTGTGTTATGTGTCTTTGCCATCTGTCTGTTTTCTGTGGAGTATACATTTAATCCACTGGGGCGTCTTATGAAATAAGGGCATGTTTTATTGCATGGTTTTAATGTACGTAATGTGTTTCAATTCTGCTTTCTCTCAACTGTCTTAAAAGGATGCGTCCCCCCTCCCCTTCATTTTCCATTAAACTTTTCACTTAATGTGTTCTCGCTGAATGTTATCACCTCAAATATTTTGGGGGTATATTTCCAATTTTAAAAAGTAGCAATATTTTCAAGTAATGATTTTGACATCAAATTATTTTGATCTGTATTAAAATTCCTTTCCCTGGGTTTGCAACCTCAAAAGAAATCGGTGATTTTAAGGAAATTGAAAAACATCTTTGTTTTTGTTTTACAGTGGTGTTGGAATGATTTCAATTTGAGGGGTCATTATGATGCGCAACGTAGTTTTTGTTAATCTAATGAAATTGGCTGTATAGCCTCTTGGTTCCTAGAAAGTAAAGTTGGAAATACAGTGATCAATTGCTCTTTACTAGATCCTTAATACTTTTTTTCTTTTCTCTATGAACAGTTCAAAAGGATGCTGAACCGGGAGCTGACACATCTCTCGGAGATGAGCAGATCAGGGAACCAGGTGTCTGAATACATTTCAAACACGTTCTTAGGTAAGACACTGACAGGAACCCCACTGAGCTTCTGCAGGGTGAATTTCTGCAACCGGTCAAGGGTATCCTTGTGAATTTGGAGTGTGGTTATGCACAGAAAACAAATCCATCCAAGATAAGAGCTAAAGCCAATCTCTAAAGGAAAACAATAAGCCCAGGAAGGTAGTAGTTTTGAAAGGATAACCCCTGTCGTAGAGAGCAGGTTGTTATGGGTTGATTGCATTTGCATGACTGCACATCACTGTACCCCTCACTATAGGGACCTGCAGAGCAGCTGAAATCTCAATACCCAAACCCAGAAGCTGCTCTATCAGCATTTCTAAAATCAGATTCTTTTTTTCTTCTATTTTTCCAGTAACTAGGCTTTGAGGTATTTTCTAAGGCATGTGCTACCTCCAGAGTCCAGGAAAGGGCATTCTGGAAATAATTTAACTGTTGCTTTGCTAGGTTATTTCTTAAGAATGGGTGCTGTGTGTGTGTGTGTGCAGGGAGGTGTTGCATGTCTAAGAAACCTTGTCTTCTCTAAGCAACACCATTATCTTTTCATTCTGATCCCTGACTGTTCTCTGACATTATGTGGGCGGTATTTAACACATAACACTGGTCATAGGTTTCCAGGGGACATCTTCAATTATTCCCTGGGTCTTGTTTGACTCTTAGAAATTTCTGACCTCAGGCTTAGAGGTAACTTTTGTTTTGTGAACCTATCGTGCCTGTTTTAATTTATCGAGGCCTGCAGTATCGGGGGCATGTGTACCTCAAAAACACATGGGAAGCCTCTAGATCCTGATTCTGCTGGCTCTGAAACATCCTCGCCTCTGTAGCTCCATTTTTTTCCCAAGGAAATGACCCATTCTTGCAGCTGAGCATCCCAGCTTCCTTTTTGGCACAGCTTCTTATTAAATGAACATTTGCCTTGTTACCTTACAGAACATGGTCTGCCTGCAGCTTTGTTTAAAAAGCAGGTCCCATTTCTTTTCACTTGGAGGCAGTTCCCTCCGACAGCCCAGCAGTGGGCTTTCTCATGGGTCCTGCATGACTGTGCGGCCTCTGGTCATCCAGCGGATCCGTAAACTGCGGGTCAGCAGCAGAGGCCACCCTCATTACTGCCACGTGTGGGTGCCCATCAACACCTGCTGTCCCCAGCTGCAGTTGCAGCAACCTTTGACAGAGAACAAAGGAGAGGAACTTTTACACATACCCAGTCTTCCAGAGGTGGCTAGAATATTAGCAAAGAGGAAACATAACCCCTAATCCTTTCCTTCCCCGGGTTTTCCCCTTTATCCCTGAACACAGAAATCCTCCCCTCCATGTCTCAGATACATATCTTGGTTCATGAAACATTCAATTATTTTCCATGAGCTGGGCACTGTTTTCAGGACATTTGACAGGGTTTGACAACAGGAGAGAAGAGTGAAATCAGAGCTTCGTTTCCAAACACATAGCTTTTATAATCCCGGGGCTTCTGTGGGTTAGAGCTGCCCTTGGAGATTAGGGTTAAAGGCCCGTGGAATCTCTGAGCCCTTGGTCAGGTCAGGATAAAAGCAGGCTTCCCAGTGTCTCTCTGAGGACCACTTGCTAAGGATCAGAAAACTGTTTTATTGTCCTAAGTCATTTTTTTTAAAATCAGCAGTGCCTATCAAGAAGGAGAGCTGGTAAGCTTTTAGTCTCATTCCTTTCCATCCTAAGACTAGACAAGTATCTATCCTTCCATGAATACTCTATTTGGTATCTAGGCACACTCCCTCAGGAAAACTTAGCTTCTCATTCTTCAAAAAACTAAATTATTCAGAGGAAATATTCAAGAGGAGTTACTCAAATGCCAGTCCTTTGTGTTAGAAGGGTGGTGTGTGTGTGTGTGTGTGTGTGTGTGTGTGTGTGTGTACATGGCAAATGAGAAGATTCTTAGAAAAACAAAGAAAAAAGGTTCAAACACAAGAGGCATCAGCTGCTTCACGTGAAGTGTGAGAACCTCAGCAGAGATGCAATCCTTCTCCTCTCCCAACTTTGGCGCTGTGAGTCTGTCACTAGGTGAGTTGCTCCGCAGCTCCCCTCAGACATACTCGACCCTCTGTCACGAACCCCAGACATGCAATTTGTACAGAAAATCAAAGCTTACTTCTGAACTGCAAATGCAGGGTCTGGGACTCTTGGCCCTGTCTGAGGGGAAGGGAGTGTTTCTGACGGCCCAGAAGGCCTCCCCATAAACTGTCATATCTGCGGTGGAGACCCTCGTGATACATTTCCTCATTTTACAGGAAACAGAATTGAAGTTAAGAAAAATAAAGGAGTCTAACCAAAGTCACTTGGCTAATATTTTTCTGAGGCAGAGCTGACTCTCTGGGAGTTTAGAAGTAAATACCAGATACCATCCCTCCATAATAGAAATTCTTAAGAGCATACGGAATAGGATCCCATTTGTGGGTGTGGTATGGATACTATTCTAGAGATTTTTTTTCTTTAGAAATCAGGATGGCTGGAGATAAAAATAAGGGATTAACAATTTCCAGTTATAGAAAAGGCTTTTTTCTGGACATGGCAGTCATCGCAGAACAAAATGAGATGACCATCTCATTTGAAGTTACACTTAAAAACATTATCTCAGCAAGAGTGGGAAGGTGTTAAAGCCTGCTGTGCAGAAAGAAAGGAATCTCCTAACCCTGGTGTCTGTGAACCTTGTCAGGCTTTTCCTGTCTGAAAAGACAATGTTCGGTGGGATGTAGAAAACCAGGCAATAAGTCATGGACCAATCTTGGCCCTTACTAGTGGTATTATATGATAATGGGCTTTCATGTTGCTGGGGAAAGTGGAATTTAGAGCACCTAATCTCAGGAGAACTGAATAGGGTATAGGTGGAGACCACACATATAAAGCAAGATTTTTTTACAGGTTGTATTTAAAACTAGTTAATATTTTTACAGATAAAGAACATTTTTGTTTTAAATTTACTTAACATCTCATCTTGAAAGCTAGAACTTTTAAGGTTTGAGGAAAAGAATTTCAGAATTTTCGTGATCATAGGATGCTGGAATCTAGCAAAGAAAATACTTCAAATATACCATTAACAGTGTTTGGATAAAAGCGGTTTCTGTATGCGCTTGATTGTTTGTGTGCGTGCATTGCAGTAGCCAACAGTGTCCCCATCATACTCCGACCACTAGAAGTGTTAATCCCCTGAGGGGTTCTTGCCATTTTTGAGTCTGTACTTCAGGTTGTTTCCATAGTGTGCTGGCTCAATGCTCACTAGAGGAAATTCCGAACAGGGAAGCCTGTCACTTGTTCCAGTGCTTGCATAGGGAAACACCCATGAATGTCACTTTTACCCCTGTGGGTACTGCTCTTCTTTGTTGCCCAGTTCCAGACAGAGCAGTTGTCCTGCTCGGTTACTTACGGATGCAGGGAACCTTTAATTAACCAAAACCAGCAAAACTGCTGGTCCCACTAGAGATGCTCCAATCTGCAGAGGCACCGGGGAACCGAAAACCCTTTTCCCCAAATGTGAAAAATGATAGTTGGGAAAAGGGAGGGATATTGTGACCTTTCATTTTCGCAAGAAGTGGTAGTTATTAGCAATGAAATGAGAGAGAGAAAGAGAGGAAGGGAATTTCAAAATTAAAATAACGTATAGTTTCCACACCAGCCACTGTGTGACAGGAAAAGGGTTTTTAACAGGAACCCAAGGCCTGGACCCTGGGCTATTAGGCCACTGTGGACAAAGTCGTTAAAGAATAAATAACTGTTGCGTAGGTTGTCCTTTGAGTTTGGACAAGTTGCTGACTTCATCCGAGAAGCGAGGGTGGGATTGCTATTTGTTCCCAAATCTACTTCTGATCATCAAGACAGCAGGGGAATTTTATTTGAAAGTGTTAATTTAGTAGAGTTGGGTGGGGCCCATAAATTTGTCATTTTTTTTTTCAAATTTATTCAGTGTTATTTGACACTAAATAGTTTGGAAACCTCTAAACTAATAGAAATGACTGAAAGTCCTTCTCCAATAAGACGTTACAGACTTCTGAGCACCCAGAGGCCTTTCAGGGATGCTGGGGCTAGAAAATGCTAGGTTTCCCCCAACAGCTGGGTGGTAAGCTGTGTGTGAAGCTGGTCCTTTCTTGCTTTGCTTTGATGGAGTGTCTCCAGGGCCTGTCAGCAGACAGACGCCCCTGAGGAGGACACGTGAGTCTGCCAGCATCTGCAGGAGGCTAAAAGCAAATCCCAGCATGCCATGTGGAAGCATGCCATTTTCAAATGGGGATGTTCTTGCCGTACTGATTTTCACTGTGACAAGCAAAGAGAGATAAGGGCACCTTTGAGAGCCGAGTTAACTATTTCAGCCACAGGTTCCGTTGAGTTCAAGGGTGAAATGAGGCAGCCATGGAACCAATCAGTGCCTTTGTGCATCCGCAGGCATCCCCATAGCAGGACAGAGGTGATAAGCCCTCATGAGCATCCAGGATTCATCTCCCTACAAAGGGAAATACAGTATTTTATAGTTAATAACAGTCTACAGGAAAGCTTCGGCATGTAGGTAGACACTTATTTTTACTAATACTAGTTCTACTGCTACCTTGTAAGTTTGAAAGAAAACTAGCTGAGATTGTTATCAATAGTTAATAAACATAAACATATTAAGAACGAAAGTGCCTATTATGGATGAGAGGCCTTATTATTTATAAGCGGAATTAATAGGCACAAAACATGAGGAAATTGAATTATGGTATTATTCCGAACCTCAAATGGTAATGAACTAAAGCTTTAAAGTAATTACTTGAAGGTTATGAACCATTTATTTTTCTAACATTTATACTCTTATTTAAACTGAGCCTGGTTGAAGCCATATGAATTCTTACATGGAATAAAAGAATAGAAATACAATAAAAAGAGTAGAACATAGTTTGCTTTTGTTAAACTAGGTTTGTGTTTTACAATGAACCTATTGTTGTTGTTTATTTTAAGATGGGGGCTCATGTAGCCTAGGCTAGCCTCAAATTCATCTTGTAGGTCTTTGAACCCTTGTCTTCCTGCCTCTGCCTCCTCTGTGCTGAAATTACAGGCCTATGCCACTATATCCACTAATAAACATTTTCTATTTATTTATTTATTTATTTGGTTTTTGGATTTTCAAGACAGGTTTTCTCTGTGTAGCCTTGGCTGTCCTGGAACTCGCTGTAGACCAGGCTGACTTCAAACACACAATGACCTATCTGCCTGTGCCTCCCAAGTGATGAATGTTTTATATACAAAAATACATTACTCACGTTAATGAATCATCTGTATATAAGTATTGATGCTCCACTTTAAAAAATATGAGTGCGATTCTAGGTAGCACTGAAAACAGAAGAACTGGCTAGGGTCTTAACTCTGCCACTTATTAGATATGTTACTTGGTCCGCTGGGCCTCAGTTTACTTCTGCAGGAACATGGAACGGCTCATATGTCTCCCCCTGCTTCACAGGACCATCTGCAGGTCCAGAGAGGTCATGCTACAAGAGTTCTGTATGAGCACATGGTTCAAGTTGTTCTGGATATTACTGTCTGCTCACTGGCACACGTGTGCTCAAAAGCATGTCCCCCCTTCTGTTGCAGACAAGCAGAATGATGTGGAAATCCCATCTCCCACCCAGAAGGATAGGGAGAAGAAGAAAAAGCAGCAGCTCATGACCCAGATAAGCGGAGTGAAGAAACTGATGCACAGCTCAAGCCTGAACAACACAAGCATCTCGCGCTTCGGAGTCAACACGGAAAATGAAGATCATCTAGCCAAGGTGTGCATGAGCTGAGCACGCGTGCATGCAGCTCCCCACTGCGCGCGCGCACACACACACACACACACACACACACACACACACACACTCATGCCCGCCTCATTCACCATTTAGGAAAGAGGGATCGCATATGTCTAGCGGTTTAGTTTTAGGGAGAGGAAGTCGCTGTAGCCTCATGGTCCGTTGCGGGAGCACCTACCTGAAGTCCTTCTGTACTGAAAGCCGGTTCCTTTTTCCTTTGTAGAGGCTCAGTAATGCAGAGTTCCTTGTGGATACAGCATCCTGCTGTGGGAGACACAGAAAGTCCTAGGGAAAGCTGGCAGGCTGGGCTGCATTATCCCAGAGGACAGTGGGAAAAAGGATGTCACGCACCAGCAGGAAGGTCTGTCGTGATTGACAGGGTTAAGGATAGCATGAGGAGCAGTGACCATGCTGACCCATACACCAAGGCACAGTCACGGAGGAAGGGCCAGAAAATGTCCATTCCTCCTGTTGGAGGCCACACGGGTGCTGTCTCCTTGCTAGCCTGGTCGAAAGGTAAAGCAAGCGTTCCTCTGAACAAAACTTCTTCCTTGAGACCTGAAAACTAGCGTTAGAGAAAAATTAATTAAACATCAGGTCAGTCCCATGGGCTGTTATTCAAAATGAAATAAATTACTCCCCCAAGCAGATAAGTTTAGGAATACTCCCACAGTAAAGGTCTGAACAATATTCCTTCCAGGTCTGTGTGTGGTCCATTCACCCTAAGATATAACCCATACCAGGCAGTTAATGCTAAGTCAGGAGTGAGCTCTACACACTCTGAGTCTCCCTGACGTGACTTCAGGGACAATGAGCAAAGGGTGGAGGAATTTCTTGGACACAGTTATGCAGCTGTTGCTGATGGGCCATTGAGGAGCAAGGGGACCAACAGAGGGCTAGGACCAGCAGCCTGGGCTCATTCGAGGTGTCTTTGAAAGCAGCATCAGCTGAACACTGGTGTTTGGCAAGTGTGGGTATTTCTTCACGAAAGAATGTGCAGAAACCTGCAGTTACCGCCTTGAGGCTACCCAGCCCACCATTCCGACTCTTAGGCAACCAGACACTCTAAACAGATGCATGGAAAGACTCAACCACCAATTTCCCCCAAATAAAATCTCTCAAAATGTTTTAAAGCTTTTCAAAACAAAAAAACTGTTATTCTTAAATCCCTCTCATTTTGATTGCAGGAGCTGGAAGACCTGAACAAATGGGGCCTTAACATTTTCAACGTGGCTGGATACTCACACAACCGACCCCTCACGTGCATCATGTATGCTATATTCCAGGTGAGGGAGGCAGAGCAAACACTGGTTATCCAGGGGCACAGCTCTTTATGTTTTACAACAACTTTCCTCCTCCCAACAACTTTCCCCCCATTTTTTTTTTTTGGACATCCATTTATTCATGCCCTTACCCGTTTTACTCCATAGGAAAGAGACCTTCTAAAGACTTTCAAAATCTCATCCGACACCTTTGTTACCTACATGATGACTTTGGAGGACCATTACCATTCTGATGTGGCGTATCACAACAGCCTGCATGCTGCCGATGTGGCCCAGTCAACGCACGTTCTCCTTTCTACGCCAGCATTGGATGTGAGTATCTGTTTTGTATACCTATCCACCCCATTTTTAAGAGTACTGTAAATGTGCAGTACATTTATAAAGATGATCAACTGAATGACTCTGAGTACTGAAGCTCTTTTTTTTTTTTCTGGTAGTTATGGCATTCACCAATTTGGGTTAGTTATAAAAATAGGCTAGCACATCTACTTTCCTCATTTTTCAGTATCAGTGTAATGTTCTATTTTCCATCTTTTCCAACTGAAGATTCTTTAATTATCAGGCAAGGACTTGGACCCATGATTTATTTTCATCATATTCCTCGTAAGGGATACAGTGCACCTCAAAGCATCTTTTTTAGTGTCTGCCATACAGTACATATGCATGTATGTACTCATCTGAATTGCCCAATAAGTACTCATACCAGATCTCAAGGAGGATAAAATGTATATGTGATCTGAAATGTTCTATGTAGTCTCTGTTAGGGTTAAACATCAAGAGACTCATTTTCCTAGGAATTCAAAGTAGTAACGGAGAATCAAGAGCAGATGGGTTAATAAAGAGAAGCCAAGATAAATTGCTCCCCATACCCATACTGTGGAGATGTCTTTGACACTTCCCTTTATAGATCACGGTTTCTCATGGGCTACTATAATTAGTAATATGCCCAGCCATGCCACCTCTGGGTAGACGGCCATAGGGAGTAACCAGGTACTTCCAAACTGTCCTGCCTGCTGAAGGAAAGGACAGGCCAAGTCTTAGCCAGCCACTTTGGTAGACTCAGTTTGGGAGGGAGAGAAAGACTAACCTCTTTGCTTGATTTCCATATGATCTAAAAAAAGAAATCTAAGACAGCGTGGTAAAGTGAGATGGAGCTAGTAGTGCTTAATCCTCCTAAAGGGGAAGAGGGGGAGATGTATTGGTTCCACACTCATAAAGTAGGGTAGCACTATTCCCCTACTTATAGATAACTATTGTTTGGCTATAAATTAGCTATGAGTGTTGCAGACTTGAAAAAAGGAGTGTGGAATGCTTGGTGTGCAGTAGGATTGGTCTTTGGAGGAGAGGTAGAAAGAGGGCCAGCATTTGAACGAACAGGAGAGAGGCTTAAGAACCAGCAGCATTGCAGGCCAAAGAAGAACTAGGTTCAAATCGCATGGGCGAGGAGGACAAAGAGGCCATCATGACAGTGTGAAGGAGTGAAGTGTTGACACTGGGCTTCATTTCTTAGAAATTACTTAAATGCTTGCCTGCAGTAAAACTGCAGAGGACATGTGGATGGATTACTGAATGCATGACGCCCTGTGACCTCACTGTAAAATAAACCTTGGCAGCTATTTTATCACTTATCTTCCAAAGCTGGAGTCTAGCCTCTTCCATCCCTGGTTACTGAGTTATTTGTGAAGGTTGTTATCTGCCACCTTCCCAGAACCAGGCTGACTTGCTTCTCTGAGTGGTTACATAATCACCACGCTGCCATAAACCCAAAACACCAACGACAGGCATCCACACATACCATCAAAATTGCGCTAATGACTTCCCAAACCGCAGCCTCTATGGGACCAAGATGGGATGAGCTCTGGCCATCATCCTTCTCACACCAGAGGTTTCAGGGTGATAAATAGAGTCTTATCCTTAATGAAATCAACAGCCTGAGCTACTGTATAAATCAGCAATGCCTCTCCCAACAAGAGTGACATTGTGGTTCTTGATGCAGAGGAAACTGAAGAAGGAGACAGATACATCGGCTGTAGAGTTAATGGGCTCTTTTGACCCCACAGGCAGTCTTCACAGACCTGGAAATCCTGGCTGCCATTTTTGCAGCTGCCATTCATGATGTTGATCATCCGGGAGTCTCCAACCAGTTTCTCATCAACACAAGTGAGTCCACCACTGCACGGTCATTCCAGACCTTTCTGTGATTCACTGCAGTTCTTTTTCCTCCTAATGTTTTCATTACGGGTAATAACAAGGGCAATAATGAGGTAATCCTTCCATCCCATGAAAATTGCCCAGACCTTTCCTGGATACTGTGTCGAGCTTGTCAACACAGTGTTGGAGGTGCATGGAGAACATGGAGAGGGTCAGGAGCCAGCCATCCCAAAAATAAGCTCAAGAGTTTAGAAAAATACAATATGGAAAGACAGAACAACAGGTTTGGAGTTGCCCACTAGGACTAAGAAAACGTGGGACAGTGACTCTCAGTCTTCCTTGAGGTTAACACACACACAATATAGTAAGTCATTAGAGTCCCTTTGTTTTGGAAGACAGGCAGAGATGCTGGGCTTGAGTGTGAAAGCCTCCCTACAGAAGTAACATTCCCTGAAGGACCCTGGGTAGGTCTATACAGTTTAGGAGGAAGAGTCATTAAAAGTCCACACATTCTCGTCTGTCTACACTGCTTTGACTTCAGACTGGTGTGCAGCTGAGGGAAGGGCCTCGCTGGAGCAGCCTCGGGATCTATAGCTTTCCCCAGGACTTCATCATGCTCCCACCATCTGATTTGCATGCTATTGAAAACTCATTGTCTCAGTTAATGCTCCATATATATGTGCTGAAAGCCCAAGCACATTTTCTTTTAATAATGCTGATTATCCCGTTATCATCATGTTTGACATCTAGTGCTGACAGTTTGATAAAAGTGCTGTCTGAACATCCTGCTAGGAGAGACCTTCTGCTGTCCATTTTTGTCTTTATGTTCAAAGTATCTGAGTATCCCAAGCTAGGGTCACATTGGTTTTCCTTTTCATTTTTAACATTTTATTCTTCTACTGAAAAAAAATAAACCGCATAAACTTTGGATACCTGTTTCTTTGCATGGATTAATTTAGTTAGTTTAGCATGCTGGTAATTTGCTTCACAAGAGAAATAAAGCTACCTACAGTATATAAAAGCTTTATAAAGCATGCAAATCTATGCCCTTGACTACAAGGTTAGCAGAACCAGGGCATTTAAATGACATCAGAGAAAGCTATGGTCTATGAGGGAGAGACGACTAGTGTGCACTAAGAATGTCCTGCATCACTTGGCTATTATTCTTGGCTAAGATAAAGCATGATGTAACGAGTTTGATGACAGGATTCCTGTGTATGGTCAAAATAGAGGAAGAGCAGAGCTGAGGTTGTAGTTTGGGTCCCTAAGCATTGCAGTTTCTGATATAGAAACTCAGAAGACAGAAAATTCAATATCAACATTGTTGAGAAAAATGTTCATGCTTAGCTGTCATATTTATACATCCAAAAGCTACATTATTGGGGTAAAATAAGATTTTATGTCAATGCATTATCTTTTCTGAAAACCCAAGCTCATAGTTGCCGGAGGTTGGGAGTGTACATGAGAGTGAGCATAGTTTGAAAATCTTAATACATTTGATAATGCATCAAAGCATTTTTTTTATCTTATTTCTTTTCAAACGCAACATTCATGAAGACTTAAAGGAAATTGTAAGCTGAAATGAAAACATAGTTTATCTGATGTCAAATTATTCATCACATATGAAAGAGAAAAGGTCCTTTTGGACGGAATTTTAAGAAAGAGAAAACTCCTGTAATAATATCTCCTAGAATCACTTTATGCTCTGCTTTTCTACTGTGTAATGACCTACAGATGATAGCTCTTGAAATAATTTAGAAAGAGATAGATCTAATTTCACATGGAGGTAACACCAGTGTTTGGCTTCTACAATTTTATTGCATTTTTATTTTCGTCACTTTTCCTTATTAGATTCGGAACTTGCTTTGATGTATAACGATGAGTCTGTGCTGGAGAACCACCACCTCGCTGTGGGATTCAAACTGCTCCAAGAGGAACACTGCGACATCTTCCAGAATCTTAGCAAGAAACAACGCCAGACGCTCAGGAAAATGGTGATTGACATGGTAAGATGCTAGCCCACGTCCATTCCTTACATTTGCCATTCTCTCTCAGAGACCGACTTGATTACGAGTTTTAATTCTGTCTCTACCCAAGGTGTTAGCAACGGACATGTCTAAACACATGAGCCTGCTGGCAGACCTCAAAACGATGGTAGAAACCAAAAAAGTGACAAGCTCGGGTGTTCTCCTTCTGGACAACTATACTGACCGGATACAGGTACCTAATGTTTAACACGAAACAAAGCCAGACAAAAGCAAGTGGCATCTAGAAAAAAGAAGATAGAAATTTGGTTAGCTGGATGACCTAGTACTATAATACTATATACCTCTGGCATCCTTTTAATGCAAGTTAAGAAAATAGAGTTTAACTCTTCATTGAATTGCCTAGTTCTAAAATTGAGTTGCACTATCTGTCTGTTATAGGACGGATGTGACTATTGGTCCCCAAAACTCACATCTGAATATAAATTCCACCAACTGGAAGTTCGTTAGGTCTGTTTGGGCTAAACAAATTGTCATCAGCTGGTCTTTTTCCGCACATGGAAAATCTCGAAGTAATTACTTTGGGTCATTCTTTGCATTCTTTCCAAACTGAGGAAAGAAATGTTAGCAGAATTTGGCTCCTAATACCCCTTCCAGTTTTTAAGCTTAAAAAGTGTCAGTTTAGGAAAATATACATGCTTCTTTTAGGGGTTCTGGTGATAAATAACCAACCCTGGCCAGCACCATTGAAATACTGCTCTTTAGATGGGTGGATTGTAATTATATTTGACTAAAATGTTCTCGGTACAGAGTGTACTGGGGTGAGAGGGATAAGATGTTCTGCTGGTATTTATACTTAGTTTTATGGGATTTTCCACAACTTGATCATTTCAGGTCCTTCGTAACATGGTACACTGTGCAGACCTAAGCAACCCCACCAAGTCCTTGGAATTGTATCGGCAATGGACGGATCGCATCATGGAGGAGTTTTTCCAACAGGGAGACAAAGAACGGGAGAGGGGAATGGAGATTAGCCCAATGTGTGATAAACATACAGCTTCTGTGGAAAAATCCCAGGTATCTATCGATGCTGAGAATTTTTTTCAATGTTTTTATGAGCTGTACCAATGGTTCAACTGGAGAGTTCTAGCTAAATCCTTTCCTTTAGCTAGTGTGTGTGTGTGTGTGTGTGTGTGTGTGTGTGTGTGTGTGTGTGTGTGTGAAAAATTACAATTATACATTTAATTCCACTACACTCCACATTCGTCTTCTCCATGCATGGTTTCATGGGTAAGGGATTAAGCAAAGTTTACAATTGTCTATGACCTTATCAGAACCAGTGGACACTCCATCCCACTGCCTAGGTTTCTCCTAGTCCCCTCTCTATCTAGGAGTTCAACTCCTCATCTGCGTTCTCTTTTCTTTAGACAAACACAGTGTCTCCATTACCAAAGATGACAAAAAGCCCTGTCTTTGCAATGAAACTGAAAGTATCTTTTCAGTGTAAGGTACAGGAAAAAAAAGCCCAAATAAGCAACTGTCCTTTTGGTCCAATTTGTGATCTTCTTAGTGACCCAGCTGCCCTCCCCATCACGTGGAGACATCTCTCCAAGTACCATAATGTTGTCATCCACACTCCTGCTTCCTTCATGGGCTCTGTTAAACGTTGTATGCTCAGCCTGGCAAGAAGACTTCTTACTAGAAGTTCTCAGGATTTGGGGAGTTTTCTCATCCCAGAACCCAAGGAATAAAAAGCTAGCACTGACCTTTCATGAAAGTCTGAAGCATTTCTTACTAAAAGTGAAGCAAACAAAGAGAGGAAACGCCTGCGCTGTGCTATGTTACTCATGGTCACTCATTACTGTGAGTTTGTTTCTAGGCCCTGGAAAGCACTTTGAAAATGGCCTCAAAAAATCCATTAAACCATACGTAAAGAGATAAGATAGAAAAAGGAGTGGGTGGGAGCAAAGTAATATCTGAATCATCCAGTCAAATTCTTGTAACCAAGGCAGATCAGAGCTGTCCTGACTTTATGTGTCTTGCTCATTAAGTTAGGAAAGAACTATTAAAAGGTATACAACACACACACACACACACACACACACACACACACACACACACCCAACCATACACATGCATGCATACATACCCCCCACACACGTAGACTCACATGTACATACCCATGTACACACACACACACACACACACGTACACATGGGGTGGGTGGGGGCAGAGCCTACATATGAGCGAAGTTATTATATATACAATATGAATATATTAAATGACTGGCCACATGCTAGAATATTGATTGAGGAAGGTTTCTGGCAGAGTGAAAAGGTAGTAACAACATAATGTCCCAAAGAGACCCTAGCTCATCTCCCTCTGGATCCCAAACTCAGCATCTCTCCAGCCCTACCTCCACCATGACAGGGGAATTCCATTCCCCCATTCAATGGTGCCTATTCTCTCTCTACCTGCCCCAATTTCCAATGTTTCCTGTTTGTCTGAGAGGGAGGTCAGCTTCAGGTCGCTCAGCTAGCTCCTGCAGGATGTATAGCTCCCGCATAAAGCACAGCAAAGCCCCAGCCTTGGGTTTTATGCTCTTGCACGCGGTCAAAAGGAACTGCTTAATTGTTTTTATTTTCCTTCTTTCTACTGATGGAAATGACTGTGTGCACTATGGAACCTAAACAATAGCAGCCATACCTCACAGAGGAGATATTTGTTTCTTTAGGGTTTGAATTGTTTTCAAGTATTTTATTATTACTATCATTGTTGTTGTTGTTTTATTTAAAATAGTCCTCTAGCAAAGGCTTAAGAAGTTTCAGAAGAGTGGAAGGTTGGCTTCTGTCATTTTGGGGCAGAGGAATATTTTAGAGTTATCAGGGAGAGAATGTTGATTCAGAACACTTCAGATGTAGGGCTTTCTTCAGAAAATGACTCACAGAATCCAAGTAGTGGCAAAGTCATTCCAAGTTACATTCCAACTTAGCTGGCAGACATGAAAGGAAAAACAGTATGTCGTGGGGAGATGAATACAGGCCTTGGAATCAGACAAGTGGAGACTAAGTTCCACATTAACCACTTATGAGCTACATGACCTCTGCACCATGTTCAGTCGCTGGGACTCTCAGTTTCCTCCTTTATAAACAGCGGGCACCAATACCTTGCAAGATTGATGGATGTTTGCCTATACTGTATGTAGAACAGGACCTATCATATGGCAAATACTCAAATAAACGAATTTCTTACTATTGGGTTCCCTTGGGTTAGTCTTCTTTCTTGACCCAGAATCCAAGACAATGTGCTAGGTTCTCAAGGGCCCGTGCAGTAATAAATGTGTGGTCCTCTTTTCCTCCAGGTTGGTTTCATTGACTACATTGTCCATCCACTGTGGGAGACCTGGGCAGACCTGGTTCAACCCGATGCTCAAGACATTCTGGACACCCTAGAAGATAACAGGAACTGGTACCAGAGTATGATACCCCAGAGCCCCTCCCCACCCCTGGATGAGAGGAGCAGAGACTGCCAGGGTCTTATGGAGAAGTTTCAATTTGAACTGACCCTTGAAGAAGAGGACTCTGAAGGACCAGAAAAGGAAGGAGAAGGCCACAGTTACTTCAGCAGCACAAAGACACTTTGTGTGATCGATCCCGAGAGCCGGGAGTCCCTGGAAGAGACAGACATAGACATTGCGACAGAAGACAAGTCCCCGATCGACACATAAGTTCCTTCGACGTGGAGATGAACATTCCACCTTTGACAAGCATGCCAGCTGAGTGGTAGGGCCAGCCTACCATGGCCAAGGCCTGCCCAGGACAAAGGCCACCTGGCCTTTTCCAGTTACTTGAGTTTGGAGCCAGAATGCAAGGCCGTGAAGCAAATCGCCCTTCCGTGCTGCCTTGCCTTGCCTGCAAGCTTGGCGGAGCCCCGCAGCTGTGTGTGGTAGTGAGGCCCATTCCCATCACAGCGAGACGGCTTGAAAGCAGAGGCTACGAAGCCGAGAGAATGCTCTGCACTAGGTGTTGGGAGGCCGTCCCAACAGGCGACTGAACTTACTAACAACTTCATTTCTAACTCTCACCCACCCCATTGTCTGCCCACCTGTGTGCCTTTTTTGTACAACGTTTTCGTGTCTTTGAAACGCCTGTTGACTCTCTAGAGTTTAGTACCAACTTCTACACAGACACGTGTTTAAATTTGACACAAACAGTTTTTGAGTCTTTCTGGGAAAACAAAACCAGAAGGAAAGCAAACAGTCTCCCTTCTTTCTTGGGCAATATCTTTGGCTCTCCTCCAGTTAACTTTGGCAAACAGACAGGACAGATGCACTTCTAAGCACACGCCACTTCTTCTTTCTCTTTGTCCAGTCGGACTCCACAGCGGTCTCTGCAACTTCGATGTTTGCCTGCCTGGAGTCGTTTTCCCCTGTGAAATTCCTCTGCTTGGCTGTAAACTGATGGAGAAAGCTGAACACACCAAGGAGCCCGGGGGAAGCTGTGGGGTTTGCTATCCATCTATGTAGTGCTCAGTCATGTAGGCCGTGTGTGCTGCTGTGCCCCAGCCTCCATGCCTCTGTGACTCGCACGCCTCCTGCTGTCCCTTCCCTCCCACCTCTCGTCACTCAAGTATACGACTTTCAACTTAATGCTGCCGTCTTTGTCTTGCACTGCCTTCCTGCACTAACACTCCTCTCCACTCCTGTTTATAACCGTGTATTTATTACATCATGTACATATTGTAATGTTTTGTAAGTTATTAATTTATATATCTAACATTGCCTGCCAATGGTGGTGTTAAATTTGTGTAGAAAACTCTGCCTAAGAGTTGCAACCTTTTCTCGTAATGTTTTGTATTGTGTATTATATAATCCAAACCTTGCTTAAGAGCAACATGAAGCCCCATTAGCAACGAGGACAGGAATGGCCATTGTTCCAAGGGTCTGCCCTTTCCTTGTCTGAGTCCCTAATCCTGCCCACCCCTTTGATGAGCTGGTTTTGCAAACAGGATTCTCACATTAGATACTAAATGGTTTATACTGAGGTTTATTTTGTACAGTTTGATAGGGGCTAGGAGCACTGGGATGCAGTTTTGACCCATGTTCTATCCAAGTCTCTGTACGCACGAGTTGGGTTGTCCCTGGGCTCTGCTCTAATTGTGGCTTTGGTTCTAAAAACACAACACTACATTCGCTCACAGATGATACTGAGTGTTCCCGAACTACTGACTTGGAAGAGCTAGCCTCCATGCTGCTCCCAGGCAGGGGAGACGTGTTCAAATTCACCATGAAAGGAAACAATAAGACAATGTGAATTTTTATCGTAGAATGTGAAGTGACGTCGTAAATTATACAAATGTGAAGCTTCTGATAACACTTGTTAGGCCTCTTCCTGGTGTCAGTTTCAGTCTGTAAAATATGTGTCATGCTTCAGTTTAGCCTTGTGACATCGGTTAAAGAAAATGGCACACATGTGCATGACCAATGGGTTCGTATGTCTGTAACACTGCGTTGCTCCAGGTAGACATTATATTGTTTTCAAAGGTTTCTCACAATGTATGTTATAATATTATTACTATTATATATTGTGCTCAGATGCATTCGTAAGAGACTTTTATATGAGCTGAATAAACAAAAGCATGAATAGATTAGATTGTAGGCCCGTTCATTGCGTGGTCAGTTCTAACACATTACAGCAGGCTTTCTTTTTCTTCCTCTTCTTGACCTCACAAAAAAAGCAAACCACTTTGCTCATCTGAATCATGACTGAAGTTTCAGAGTCTCTGTGTCCAAAATGTCCTGAGGCTCAAACATAACATTTTCTTCTCAGCCGATGTTCAGGAAGGAGGGTGGCGGAGGCTAACAAACAAAACCACTTTGTTCATCTTGAACGATTTCCTTCTCCCTCTTTAGAATTCTGAAGAATTTAGTATGTTAGGTAAATAAAGCCGTCCTCAGCTGGGCTCGGTCTGCTGGGACAGTGACTCAGAATCATAGTACGTTAGTTTATTGCAAAGAAGCCTGTTGATTCATGTGACACACGGGGGATCTTGGGTGATTCCAAAAGAGCTACCTTAGACCATAGACCTCAGAGCACCCAGAGATGCTCACAGTCACCCCAGTAGTCTGTCTAGTCTTTTGCTGGTAGGTTGCATTGTTCTGGAAAGAAGTCTTTAAATGTTATGAAGTCTTAAAGTCATCATTTAGAAATAAGTTATCATGAGTGTATGTGTGTGTGTGTGTGTGTGTGTGTGTGTGTGTGTGTGTGCAGGTGTGTGTATGAGTTTCTGTGTATGTATGTGTATGCACATGTGTGCATGAGTGATTTTGTGTATGTGTGTGTGTGGGGGGTGTCTGTGCATATGTATGTGTATGTGTGTGTGTGTGCACATGTGTGTGTGAGTGAGTATGTGTTGGTGTGTGTGAGTGTGTTTGTATCTGTGTTTACACATGTGTGTGCATATGCATGTGTGTGCACATGTGCAAGTGTTGAAGTGACACATAATCGGTGGGTGGTTCTTACTAACTTATCCACAGAGAAGTGGCCTGTGTTCCAGTAAAGCATCTGCTCTGGGAGAATTCCCTCAGGAAGAGGAAATTATTGACTTTCTTTAGAAACTCAAAAGCTGGCCTGTTGGTTCTAGCCAGGCCTTCTCCACCACCCGATTTTTGACCAGACATTTCCATCGGACACAATGACAAGAGTGAATTGGTTACAAGAGTTTATATACAAATCATAACTGATAACTATAGTTATAAACACTGTCTATTCTGTTCTCTACTGAGGGCGTCCTTAGCATGGAAAATGTACATGTTCGTAATACCATTTGGGCCCTGTTCTCCTTGAGACTCCTAACAAGAGTGGCCTTTACTGGAGGCCTACACATCACCCTCTTTTAATTCTCCCCAGGTGACAGTAATGGTGGATAGCGCAAGGAGCAATGCCTCAGGCCTTAAGCCATGTTGGCCTGGGGCCATAGGTGTTCATTGTGAACCCTCCATGGTGTGCTCAGTATGATGATTTTTCTGCAGTAATTTTAGCTGTGCCCTAGTTTTATGTTCCCTCTGACTTCTCATCAATTTCTCCTTGTTTTAAAATGTATTTATTTATATTTTATGTGTACTGGTATTTTGTCTCCACGTATGTCTGCACACTAGATACATATCTGGTACCCACAGAGCCAGAAGAAGGCAAGCATCAGATACTCTGGGACTGGCATGACAGACACTTGTGAGTCATCATGTTGGGTGCTGAGAACTGAACTCAGGCCTTCTGGAAGAGCCGCCAATGCTCTCAACAGTAAAGCCATCTCTCCAGCCCCACACCTAACTGCTTGGCCAGCTGGGACGGCACAGTCTCATTAATGTCCTACACAGAAATTTCAAGACCAACAGGCCAGAATTTAGCTGTCTAAACCAATGGTAACTTTTGAGGGCAAAACCGTACAGGTGCCTTCTCCTCTGTTCTCATGTTCCTGGCATCATACATTTGTTGAGTGACTCTAGCTAGTGACGACTGTAAGGCTCTAGTTAAGCAGGCGGCCGTGAGGAAGGCGCACTCTAGGCGTTCGCTCCAGCTCCCAATTTCTCTCAGGTACAATGACCTTTCTTTTCAGATCCATTTCCTCACTCAAGCCTGAACCCTTAGAAGAGAAAGAGTGCTCAGAGATGGTTATTGAACCAATCTCACAATTTCACGGTAGAGAAATAGCTTTTATTGAAATAGCTCTTGAAGTATATCCATCTCCTTGGATTTCTTGGGAATAAAGAATGCAGTACACTGAGAAAAGCGGGATTTGAAAACCCCATGTCTATGGCCTTTTTCTTGACCCTCCCTAGCCATGGACATATGTGTACTAATATTTCTGACTCTGAATTGTCTCATCATTAAATTAAACTAACAGACAGCTACAGGTAGAATCAGATAGAAGATTACGTACAGTGGGTGATCAACAAACCCTTTTTATTTCTATATATTACATATCCATATATGAAGGGATAAATATTAAAATACGTTTGAAAAATCACCTTTGACTTTTAAAAGCACAAGTCCAAACAACATTTTAATTAACTTGAGGAGAGGGCATGAACTCAAATGTCAGGTAATATATAGCCTTTCCGCGTGTGTTTCCTGATTCCAAGAGGAGAGATGCCTCCATAGATATTGATAGACTCATGGAATTGGGAGGATATGAAAATCATAATACCTGTCTCTTCCAACACCATGAATACATCCAAAAACATGCCTTCTCCAAAGCATCCAGTGGTAAAGAACTCAGCATCATTTCAATATCTTAATACAGGTTTCTATGATAGAATCAATTGTCGTCCTATAGCACCTTCACTGACTTCTTCCTTTTTATCTGCACCCAAATAATGCATGTGTCCTAGCTTAGTTTCTACTCCTGTGATAAAAACACTTTGACAAAGACAGCTTAGGGGAGAAAGGGTTTAATTGGCTCAAAAATCCCAGGTTACAGTCCATCACCGTGGGTAAATTAAGGCAGCCAGAACTTGAAACAGCTGGTTGTAGCCAGAGCCAAGAGCCAAGAGAAAATGAACGCATGCCTGTTTGTATCCCGTTCCCTTTTCCCTTTTTCATACAATCCAGGATTCAAACCACAGGACTGGTACCACCACTTTTAGACTGGCGCTTCCAACATCAGTGAACATAATCAAGACAATTCCTCACAGACATACCTACAGGCCAACCTGATCTAGACAGGCCGACCTGATCTAGACAATCCAGTACTGAGACTCTCTACCCAGGTCTCTACATCGTGTCAAGTTGATAATTAGAAATAACCATGCCGGCATGAAATTCCTTTTCTAATTTCCTGTTCAACTTGAAAATAAGACTTTCAATGTTCCCCTAAGTTATCAGAAACTGGTATAGGACCCCAGGGTCTCATTTTCCTCATCAGTATACCAGAGTTAATAATAATAATGTCCTTGTCTTGTGATTATCAAGAGAACCAAAGGATAGAATAATGTTTGAGCTACAGTGTGTATGAATGAATACCAATTTCACATGAGGAGAGATAGCATGTTTTCCAAGCTGTAGCTTCTGCAGCCATTTCTCGTGTGATTTACTTTGACAATTCTGATCACTTCATGCTGGACTTACCCATACTGACAGGATCAGAGTTACAGAACCAAGAGTGTATCTTGTTTATTGAAGAATAGTGTGACACTTGCCCATCTTTGTTGCTATCACTGCCTCACAGCTGAGATAGTGTTCATTTGGGGGCCCTCATTGACTCGCCTAGATAATTCACAAAGTGCACATGGGCCTGCAAAGTTTTCCACATCTTTTCCCATGAGCTAGATCTCCATCCTTGCTCTGTTAAGTTTATATATCAGGTAAACATGGCTGTGCATTCTCAGGAAGAGCAGGGAAGGAGTACAGAAGAGCCTGTCTACTAATCCTCATGGATCTTCAGCACCTATCAGCAAACACACAATTACGTCCACAGAGTCAGAAAGGGGGATGTGTTCCTTCATGCCCATCAAGACAGGTCTCAACCAATACCATCATGTAAATGGTATGATTCAATAATAATTGAGCAGAAGAATCCTTGTCTGTTAGGGTTCTTCTATCAGCTGAAATCAGTCAATGTGCAGAATTCCTCTTTTCTGAATCCGGGTTCCTTTGTGTAGTAGAGTCTTTTCATCTACAATCAAGTATGGTAGACCAAAGAATGTTTTGTGGGTTTCCACATGATAAAGAAAGTAGGAGTGATATATTTATTTTTTATGGCTGACTTTAGGAAAAGGTATTCTAGTTTGCATGGCCCACTCTGGCAAGAGGAATTCTGGTTTCAAAAGCTGCCTGGAATGGGAGGAGGTATGAGGAGAACAAGGTGGTGAATTAAGCTCAGATATGAAGTTCACTTCTCAAGCCTTCATGCTGGAGTATGGTTTTCTGAGCCCAAACAGGCCTGTAACATAGGCACTATGCTGAGACACATGTCTGTTCTGCATCTCGTGCACTGGAAGATATGGGAAAGCATGTAACATGAAGGGCCGGCTTGTTGGGGTTTCTGTTTTGCCTGATACCCCACAGCCAGCAAGTCTTAGAGAAAATCACACAGAGATCTCCATAAGTTATAAAACTGATTGGCCCATTAACTCAGTCTTCTTGTTAACTCTTTTAGCTTATATTAACCCATTGTTCTTATCTATGTTAGCCACATGGCTCGTTACCTTCCTCAGTCAGGCAGATTACATCTTGCTTCTTCTGTGGTCTGGGCAGGACTGCGGAGAGAGCTTTCTGCGTCTGAGAATATTCCTGTTCTCTTTGCTCCACCCCTACTTCCCATCTGGTTTTCCTGCCTGTACTTCCTGCCTGGCCAATCAACATTTATTTAAAACATGATTGACAGAATACAGACAATTCTTCCACACCAAAAACAGGTGTGTAAACAAAAAACTTCAGCAACAGTATAAGAAGTACTAAGGTAGAGGATCACAGGAAAGCACCTAACTCTGTAGAGGCCGGGAGGCAGTGCTCAGAGAGCATTTCTCATAGAAGGTCTGGTTGAACCCTCATATAAGTGTGAGAAGGGACCAGAGAGATGGCTCAGAAGTTTAGCACAATCATTGTCTTATTATAGAGGACCCAGGTTCAATTCCCATACATAAAAAG